ATTTTATCTAAGTGTTAAATTGTGTTTAAAGTAACAGATTAAATAAAATATTTCTCCGGACCTTTACTGGTTGATTAATTTGGACCCAGCTGATTGTTAATCGGTTACTCCTGCCTTAAATGTTTTAATTTTATTTTACAAAAAAAACACCACATTGAACTGTTAAAACAAACTTGTTTAAACAGAACATGAAGTAGTGGTGAGAAGCATAAATTTAAAGTTTTAGTGTACTGAAAGTGGCAAATTTTTTAGTGGAAAAGCAAATGAAATTGATGGAACTGTCACATTTTAAGCAACAAAAATCTGTCTAATTAAATCCAGGGTTAAGACAAGTGTTTGCAAATTCCTTAGATACACAGAGGAAGATGCAAAAAAGAAAAAAAGACACCATATTGGTTGCAAAAAAAAAAAAAAAAAAAGACACCATATTGGTTGCATCAAACACAATACCTGGCCGAGATGTGTCCCTCATCTATTTCTAAAACAGTTGGCAACATTCCTACTAACCTAAGAACACGTATAAAGCTACAAGGGACTGTTTAATATAACCTGAGAGAGCAGATCTATAGAAACGGAGACATTTCAAATCAAAGAGTGAAAAGCCCACAGAAAAAAGAGCACATCTCTGCACATGTTAATCCATCCTGTGGTTTTGTTCAACTTTACCCAAACGTGGATGATGGTTGCAGCCAGCAGGACACCGGCGCTCTGCAGCAGGTCACCCAACACGTGGATGAAGGCCGCCTTCACGCTCGCATTGCCACGGTGACGATCCAGGCTATGTTTATCCCCCTGCACTGATGGGATCCCATGGCTGTGACCATGCGAGGTGCCAGACTGATGAAGAATCAGGATCATCCTGAGTGAAGAACAGGAAGGCTGGATAACCATCCATCCCTCCACTAACTAAAAAACAAACTGTTCACTCACAGGACGTTGACGAGCACAGCACAGCCTGAAGTTATGAGCATGATCTGACTGTCGATATCGTAGTCTCCGTCAGTGATCCTCTGGACTGCAGACATGACCAGAACTGCAGTCACAGCCCAGATCGACACAATGGAGAGAAACATTCCCAGAATCTCTGCATAACAGAAGAAACAATACAGGGAAACGGTTATAGAGCAAACATTTACTCTACGCACGTTTAAATTTAACATCTGGTCCTGTAGGTTCATTTCATACTGAACCACCACAGTGCAGCACAAACACCTAAAAGAACTCCCATCTAAAGGGGCAGTTTATTTTAAACAACAATCACAGGTAGCCTTCTGTATTCAGATTTTGTTCTTTTATTAATAAACTTTCTATCAGCAAAACATCTATCTCCGACTTCTTGTTTTCTTGCTGTATATAAAGACATGATAAAGGGACCTCCTTCTTTTAGACACTAATTTCCAGGCCTGATGAGGTCAGATGGGACTAAAATAAGCTTTTCATAAGCTCATGCTCAAAGTACGGTGGAGGACCTGTGATGCTCTGGGTTCATTTCACCTCAAAAAGCCCCAAAAAATCTAAAGATTTTAGTCTAGGACTTAAAAACCTGGTGGATAATAACCAGTGAGATGTTAATTAGCCATCAAAGACTCTCACTTCCTCTGATCTAAAAGAATGGGAAAAGGTAAGAACATTTGTTTTTTAAAACTCCACAAAGCAAATGTGCTCAAAGTAAAGCTCTGTTTACGTCTGTATCACCCATCTTATCAGAAAAATATCATCTGAGTGTAAAAATTTCACATTTCTTTAACTTTGACAACCGTTAGGATACAACTCAGAAACAAGTAAAGAATTTAGGCGGGAGGTCGGACCCACTGCTCCTCTTTGAGTCTCATTAAAGAAATTAAAAGACGAACATTTTATCACCATAGTTGCTAAAAAGAGCAGATTTATGCTGAGGTTCCAATCTATACATGTTTTGATGCATTGATTAGTGATCATTAATGGACTCCTATATTGGTAACAGAGGAAACGTTTTAGAGGCCTGGAGATGGTTGAAAAAAAAGCTTCTTTTTTTTTCTAACCAAAAATGGGAAATGAGCATAATAATCCAGTACCGCCATCTCTTTACTGGTTGCCTTGTCAGGTTTGGGGAGATTGTAAGGTGTTGCTGTTCACCTATTCAATTCAATTTAATTCAGTTTATTTCTATAGCGCCAAATTCACAACACATGTCATCTCAAGGCACTTTACAGTTCAACCAGATCATCCAGTCAGATTGATTCAAAGTTTTCTATCTAAGGAAAACCAGCTGATTGCATCGACTCATTGACTCTTCAGCAATCCCTCACACTAAGCATGCTTGTAGTGACAGTGGAGAGGAAAAACTCCCTTTTAACAGGAGGAAACCTCCAGCAGAACCAGGCTCAGTGTGAGCGGCCATCTGCTGAGGCCCACTGGGGTTCAAGGAGACAGAAGCAGACATAGAAAAAGAAGCATAGATACAAAAAGCAGCTGTAAAAGGCGGCCCCGTCCAGGAAACACACAGCCAGGCGGACGAGCTCCGAGCCAGCTCCCATGTCAGAGGATGAAGAGAGCACATCCAGTTAGTCACGGTCAGAGAAACTGGACTACACTGGAAAACAGGCAGATCTCCAGCATCTATAAACAAGGGTATTGATGGCAGCAGCACAGCTGATATTTCTCTCCAGGATGGAGTCACAGCCAAACAGGAACAGACCAGATGAAGCTACTATGAGAAAAAGCAGAGAGAGCAGAACGTTAGAGATTGAACTAACAGATTCTGCAGAGTGGGAGAATAGAGATAGAATGAAGCAGAATGATGAAAAAGGGGTCCCTATGTCCTCCAGCAGTCTAAGCCTATAGCAGCAGAACTATAGAGATAGCTCAGGATAACCTGAGCCACTCTAACTAGAAGCTTTATCAAAAAGGAAAGTTTTAAGCCTAGCCTTAAAAGTAGACAGGGTGTCTGCCTCACAGACTAAAACTGGTAGTTGGTTCCACAGGAGAGGAGCCTGATAACTAAAAGATCTGCCTCCCATTCTACTTTTAGAAATTTTAGGGACCACTAGTAAACCTGCAGATTGAGAGCGAAGTGCTCTGTTAGGAACATAAGGAACAATCAGATCTCTGATATCAGATGGAGCTTGGCCATTTAAGGCTTTATATGTGAGAAGGAGGACCTATAAGGCCCCTATAAATGGTCTGGCTCCATCCTATCACCTGTGTGTTAAACCTTGTTCTCTTCCATGTCGGGGTACGGATCTTAGAGCCTGAAGCTAAAGGAAAAATGACTGTGGACATTGATTTTTCCTTTCCTGCCCAATCCGTGGAGCAATCTCCTTCAAGAAGTTCAGCAGACATGTTCAGCGAAGGTTTTAAAAACCAGGCTGAGGACTCGCCTGTTTACTCCATCTTTTGCAGATTCATTCTACGTTGAGTTATATATTTGCTTCAGTCGTCAGTAAAAAGTAAAACCCTGCTAAACACAGCTTTGTAGTTTGATCCCACCTGCTCGATGCCACCCAAAGGTCATGGTTTGTGTTTGAGGCCTGGAAGAAATCACCAGGGAGACGATGCTGATCACAATGCTGCAGAAATCAGTCAGAAGATGAGCAGCGTCTGTCATGATGGCCAGACTGTGGGCCCAGTACCCACCTGGAAAGAAAACTCCCCTCAATGTGTTGATTTCAACTTGGATTCTGTCTCCATATTTCAATGTTTTTGCTTTTTTCCCCAAAAAAATTGTTCTAGAGATAGATTTCTTAGAAAGGTCCTCAGACGAATCACTACCATCTCACCAATCACCTCTCCAGTCATAAAAACGAGGCTGACACCACATGCAATGAGGAGCTTCTTTCTGGCCGTACGTCTGGTATTGTTTTCATATGCTGACATGCTGCAGGTCTCCTGGTGGAGCAGCAGGCCGTCCACACTGCAGTCATCTTCACTGAGCTCTGAATCCTCTGCAGGACTCGTCCTGCTAAGTAACACAACATTCTAGACATTCCTGTAGTCAGAGAAGCTACCTGGAATAAAATGTTGAGATGAGACAGGCACCTTGTTAGAGGCTCCAAATAGGTGTCAATAAGGAGCTGCTTCTCCGAGTCAGACGTCAGATCCATGTTTTCCAGGATTCTTTGCTTTAGACTCCCTGAAATTAATGATTGTTGAAGTAAAGCTTGAAAAACCTGCCACCTGTTCTAACATCTTATCCAACAGGGGTGGTGTTCTACAGCAGCCAATGGGAGACGTGATCCCAGAATGATCCACAACTCCATTATACATTTAAGCTGCTTTATTTGCAAACATTCAGGACAAAACCTTTTATATTTAAAATGTACTTTTACAGACTTTTTATAATTTCATTCAAACAGTTAAAGAACTGATCATTTGTAAATCAAATATGTCCATATGAGGCAAAAATAAATCATAAATATAAATCATAAATATAATTTAACATCTTACAGCCATAAAACCTCTAATTAAAAACAGAGCCCTGAATAACTTACCAAACACCACAAAGAGTAGAAAAATAATTTATTTGATCCCATCACCAGGATTAAGAGATAAAATTTACAGTTTAAAGTTAAACCATCAAATAAAAATGATGCTTAATGATCTAAGTACAGAAAAAAAACACAACTTTCTTCAAAAAATGGCAGGAATATCACAGATCCAGTTAATCTTACTTGCCTGTTGTGGTGATCACTAAGAATCACTGATGCCTTGATTGATTAACGTAAACAAAAAGGCACATGGATCTTTAATCCAGTAATAACTCTGCAAGCTGCTATAGTAAATCTAAGAACCAGAGGCAGCGACAGCTGCCATTTTCTCAAGCCTCAATTAAAGAAAGAAAATAAATACTGGAAAGCAGGCCTCTGACTCCCCCTGCAGGCGGCTTTTGGAAGCGTCTACCAATAAACTGGATTTTCTGTTTTTCCCCCATAAGGCACAGACTGATTACAGGTTTCAAGGTATGTCAAGACTTTTAAAATGATTTATTTTAACACCGCTAACATTTCAACTCATTTCCTAGTTCAAAATCCTCATCATGAAAGGAAAGTGCAAGAGAGACAGTAGTTTCAGCCCAGCTGGTGCAGCACACTGCCAGTCAGGAGGCTTAAAATAATTTAAAAAATAAAAGGAATTAGTGGGATTTTTGAAAATAATTCTAGCAAGGCGACGATAAGTGCAGAGAAATGGAAGTGATGAGCTGAGAAAAAGGTTTGTTTTTTTCTAAGTTTCCTGAATCCAATGTTTATTTCATACTTTTGCTTAAAACTACATAGATAAATGAAATAAAAATATCATATATATATATTTTAATCCTGCGCAAACCTTGTGTTTTTACTCCAGGTTAACGTACCCTGAGAATCTCAAACTGGCCCATGTGTAACACTTACAAAATCAAGCCATGCTACAGCTGAACAAGGAACCCTGTGCAAAGTAAATAACACCTTTTAGAGCCGGCTAATTAAAACCAGCGTAATAAAAGATGTCAGTAATGATCTGAAAACATTTTGGCTAAAGTGAGGTTTGATCACATATAATTAGCAGGAAGAACAACTCTTAAAATCTTTGCATGCAGAGGAAAAAGTGGATCGAAATCAGTAGGATCCAACCATCACAGAAAGACGATTCAAAATAAAAAGCGGTTTGTCTTGGATAGACCTGTGCCACCATCACAACCTGATGTGTCCACCCAAAGCTTTCACTTATTAATTCATTCTCCAGCATGTTAGCATGTACAGGAAGACAAGTGGTTTGGCCTTAAAATGTAAAAGCAGCGTGTTAAAATAGAAACAACATTCAACATTTAGGGAATCCTGAGCAGAGACATTCTTAAATCACCATGAGAACTTTTAACACTAAACTGTTGGTTTAAAGTGCACAAGAAAAAAAAAAATGTTTAACAAGAGATCAGTTGCTTTGATCTGCATGGCTTTGTCATTTTTTGCACGAAAATATTACAGATATAAACAAGTTTTTATTTAAAAAAAATTATATACACATGATCTTATGGGGAAATAAACACAAAACAACCCTTTGGCAGTACCAACATTCACGTAAACAGAAAGGCGTCTTATTGGGGCGTTTCCTGTTCCTCAGTCCCAGGAAAATCTGCAGAATAAGTTGATCTGAATTAATTAGGAAAGCTGCAGGTGGGACCTCACTCCCACACCTAGTCCAAAAAGATTCAAAGCTCTCCTTTTTAAAGGCTTACTCATCCACGGGCCGACTCGCTCAATCGACTGTGGACAGAGCCATGGTCCGGGTCTCTCCAGGGCTTGAGGTGCCGTTGGTAGCCATAGGCTGAAGCACAATCGTTGTGTTCTCAGCTGCAAAAAATAAGATGAAGGAAGCCAAGATTATGAACATAAATAGTTTGATTCAAACAAAAAAAAAGTTATCCATAGATTAGAGCTTGATAAGCTGAAAGCATATCCCCATAAGGATTAATGGATGACAGAATTTCACTTTCAAGCAATAAAAAAAAAAGAGCAATAAAGTGCACAAGATTTTATGCACAAAATATATATTTATGACAAAGCAAAAGCAGCAGAAGCATCTGAACTCATGTGTGCAGATTATAGAACAGAAATAAGCGGCTGGAGGTCAAAGGCTCCGCTGTGGTGGATAAGCAAAACTACCTTCATTATATCAAAGTATTCTGTAGCATTCAGTGGGATAATCCCACGTTAAAAGCTCTTCATTACATCCACATCCTGTTTTTGGAAGCACAGCTATCAATGCACTGCATGCATGCCTCATTTTAATTTTGCTCTAATGTAGGTTAAAAGCTGCATTAAGCTGACACCCCACCCACATAAAAAACTCTGTAAATAGACTGAGTGGTTAGTGTTATGTTAGTGCAGATTTGTGCATAAAAAAATATTGTTTGCACTACTTTCGTTTTAAGAGATATTAAAGGATGTAAGGACTTATTACTGTGCCTGGGTTGTAAAATCTCACTTTCCCCTCCAGTTTGCTTGCTTGGTGACTTTGAGGGAAGCTCTCTGGAAAAAAAATCAGTTTGCATGGCTTTCATTGCATTATGTATCGCAAAGAAAACAATCCTCATGAATTGGAAAAGTGAGGATAAACTCAGCATCAATCAGTACAGAGATCTGTTGTTGGATCATATTAATCTTGAGACAGCATCTGCATCCCCATCAGACCGATCTCTCTGGGCTCCCTTGATCACTTAGTGTAGTGGGGGGCTGTGGGGCGCGGGGGCTGGTTCG